GGGAGAGAGAGAGAGACGCCACGGCCATTTCGCCGTCAAGTCAATCTAAACACTCGCGTCCGCAAACTCCGTTATAATTAATGCGTCCATAATTTATGAACGATCCCTCGGGCGCGAGCGAGGGCGGCAGTGCGTCCCGCTGCACACTACCACCCCTCTCGTCCACGTGACACACTGTCTGTCACGCACACCACTTGCAACTTGCGCGTGTCATCGTGCGCCGCCGGTCATCATTGGAACTAGTTAACTCGCTGCGCAATTCGGTGCCGCACGGCCGTTTCGAATGAAATTTGTCAGCGAATTAATTAGCATGCGAATTCGCTGGGCGAATCAATTAACGGAATTCGGTCAGAGCATTGATGTCATTGTGTGGACGCTAATTTACGTTTCATCGGTTATTATATTTACTTCGTCAAACTAGATCTTTTTTAATGGAGCATTTTTCACAACAATTTATTTGGCTCCACAAACGGTGGCTAAATGACCAAACGATGATGCTTGAAATGCTTCCACGCGAAAATTCGATGAGAACGATATGAAAGCCCATTTTTTTTTTTTTTTGTTCTCTCTCTCAAAATGCCACGCACGTGCTTGGCGAGTCTGCGACGTGACGCTGTCTTTCCACAATCGTCCTTCAATTCCGCGGCGATCGCGGGAGCATCGGAAGCGACACCGGGCGTATTATCGTTAACCAGGCCCCGCCAATTCGCGTCGTCGACATCGTAACTCCGTAAGTTTCCGACGCCACCGTGTCGGTCTGTTCTTCCCTCCGTCGGAAGCCACCCCCTAGAGTTACCGAACTGCCGTTCCCGCCCTCGGGAGCGCAACTTCGCGGTAGAAACGGACACCGATCCCACGGGGAATCCTCCGGGAAAGTTTCGCGTGTATCGGCGAGAGGTGATGGCCCGCACGAAAAATAATAAATAAGAGAGTAAATAGCTCGGCGACGACGCGGCGTCGCCGTCGATGCTTTTTCTCTGACACGCGAAAAGTTTTTGCGCACGTGACCGTGGAAACTTTACAATCTACAGGACGCACACAAGCCCACATGCACAGTTCACCCGAGGAAATTCGTAACTCTGCGAAATCCCTGCACGCAAATCTCACGTCACGTCCCCTAAATATGTGTCATGACGTCATTAGTGCTTTGTTAAACGAACGACTGCAAAACACGCGGAACAAACAAAGTTTAAGCGTAATTTTTTTTAACGTGCACAGGTTAACATGCACTTGTTTTATACCAGACAGGATTCTATTTCCGGAAAGAGTTAAAGTCGCTTTCCAATTTCCTTCATGAAGATTTAATTTATGACGTCTATTTTTTTTAAATTCCAATCTCTCTGTTGAACATCTCTGTTGAGTATTTAAGTTATTTTTAATTGAGCTAATATTCGCTTTTCAAATATAGAAATGGCATTAAAAGTATTACATTTAATGCGTCATCACTTGTTCATTCCCGACATTGAATATTCTGTTAATTTAACTTTAAATCTTTGGCAAAAAAAAGATTGACTGCAAATTATATCTCTCTCAAAATATTTCCTGCAATTTGTAGATATATTTGATATAGATATATTTGAAGTCACACGTTCTTTCAATTACCGCTACCAGAAGAATATTGACAAATGAAGCTATTTGTGTCGGAATGACACCAAAATAATTCCCGATTGTGTAAACTTCTCTTAAGAATAGAATTGACATTCGTGCGCATTAGCGCATCGAAAAACTATTTATATATTATGAGAACTCTTAATTGTTTAACATTTGTGTAATATTAGTTTTGCACAAATTTAATTTCTGTTTCCATTTCTCATTCTCATCTCATTCTCATTAAAAATTTAAACACACATTTTATAAAAAAATATATTCCTTCAAGCATTTTTAGTCGAACCAGATTTTTACCATTAAAATATTTTTACTCTATTTGACATTTCTAATTACTCCCAACTTTAAATATTCAAAATAAAGAGAGAGCATTACTTATATAAAAGTGATATTAAAATCTCGTATTTTCTTCGCGTATAAAATGATACTTGCGAGGGAGATGCAAAGATGGTGGAAGATTTTTAGTTTCTCAGGGTGAGTTCGTTCCCGCTCTATGGTCGAATGCTTTCTCGCCGGCCGTCCAGGCTGACAAACGACGCCGAAAAAGCAATCGCCGTGAAAGCCTCGGCGATGCACCGCTCGTGCGGCCTGTGTCTCTACGTGGGCGACGATGATGCAGGAAATTTCGCGGTCCGAACGCAAGACGAACGTCGTCTCGACCCCTAACCGATGCGCTGCTCTCAAGCTCGCTACCGGAAAAGAAAGAAATCAATTTTTACATAAACGAAGGAACAAATCCGCAAAGACATCTGCCACGAAACACGTTAGACATTGTCAGGCACGTCTTTTAAAATATCATTGACCCTTTTCAACGAAAAGCGTTTATGTAACTTGCGTCAATATATAATTCAACTTTACATTTTTGATGTGAAACAAATTTTCATAGACTCGGATCTTTATTCCTCATTTTTAATATTTTAGCACTTGTGACTTCTCTTGTTATTCTTTTTTAGCGCTTTTGCCATTTTAATTTTTGATTTTTGACTGGTGTATGAAAGGAAGAATATTGCTGCTACTTTTTTCGATTACATAAATATGACAAGATAAAAGTTGCATTCGCGTGAAATTTAGAAGTCTCTCAATATCAATTCGAAATATAATGACACGGATTGGACAAATGACGAAAACGCAAAACGACTGGGAGAAATCGAATCCGGCGGAAGAGAGAAAGGAGAGAGAAAAAAAGAATATATTTATGACACGCAGTTAATGCGACCGCCCCTGGGGGTAATGTGTCGGTTAAGTAAATGCCCGACCGGCGAACTCGTTTAATAAAGACACCGCGCGCCGTGGTGCTCTGGCATTGTTTAGTAATTAATTTAGAGCCGAGTTTACTGCCCCAGAACGCGCGGTAGTCGTGCTCTGTAGAGCACGGACGGGTGAGATAAAAATAGATATTTCGAGTAATAGGTGATAAACGCAGAAATATTATTCTGCTGCGCTGAAAAATGAATTATTATCAAGAGAGATATTATAATTCAAACCATAAAATTAAATTAAATAATCTCCCAGAAGTAAACGGTACCGAGCAATTAGGCGCTTCTAATTACTTTGCTTTTAACTGCTATAAATGGGCAAAATGCAGTATTTTATGTATATGTGTACAAATGTACGTATTATATACGTCGAAATTGAAAATACACCAGTGCACTTGTTTCCTCGAGTTTCATCGAGCTCGTGTAAAATTTTCTGTCGCGAGGAACTTGTATTCGAAATTAAAAGCTATTTTCACATGGATTTTCACCGTGTAACGTCTCCGCGCGGTCTCGTGTTCCAATTTGTTAATATGGATTAATTTAGATATTTCCGAGTGCTTTTAGGCGGCCGCTTTTATTACCGTTCCTGTCCTCGTTCATATGATCCCGCTTTTGTACCCGGAACGCCAGTGGGATTCGATTTGAACGCGCGCACAAATATCTTGGCCTGCGCTGAGCGAAAATATATCATGGTGATACGCCTATTTACAGATAAAGGTAGACATGACAAGCGAGAATAATTTAATTTTTTTTTCTTTTATGAAATGCGTGATAGGTAAGTGCGCCGTCACATTGTTTTATATATATACATATTGTTTATTCCATTTATTTGTACTTAATTTGATATTATTATTTGAATTTACAATGTTAACCTCGAAAGTAAAGCCACGAGGGAAAAAACGCCCGGTAGTTTTTCATTACACAACACGTTATACGACATACACTCATATTTTATATTTTAACTTCACTAATTGGCATCAATTGATATTTATTCTACACTTTTATATATCATTGTCGAATATGTCAATAAACATGAAATAATAACCACAAACTATAGAACTTTTCGATGCAAAATTTTTTTTTCTAAATATATTAAAATACCTTCAGGCTAAAAAACACGCTTGCATAGCGCATAAAATTGAATATTATTTTTTTTTTATATTATATTTTTATTAAATATTTTATTACATTTTATTAAATTAAATAACTTTTTTTATTTTATTGCAAAATTTTAATATCTAACTTGTTTAAATAAAACCACGAAAAATCAATCTTTTTCGAGGTTCACCTTATACATTTTCTGAAAGTCAACAAAATATTTTAAATAAAATCCAGTTCAAAAATTAACGTACGTTACTTATTTCAAATATTTTTAAAGTGTTCAGGCGAAGTTAATTTTTCTTAGACAGCA